CGCTACCATTCAGGGTACCCAGAAAGGGACCATCATGTCCAGAGCTGACCACGTATCTAACAGGCCCATAGCATGGTCCCTTATTAGGGATTATAGTACCCCCTATTATACCCCCTATTAAGGGCTGTTAGTTTCAGTGAGAACATCCCAAGTTACATAGCAGGGGACCCATAAATTAAGGTCTACTTCGGATCACTTAACGTATCGACCCATCAGCTCAGGTTCACCTACGCCCTCCACACCCGCCTGCAGCAGAAAGGATCCAAGGTGAAATCCCTCGTTGCCCATCCAGGAGTTTAGGGTTTAGGGTTTAGGGTTTAGGGTTATCTTTCTTCGGCCCTAGGGTGTATGGCAGTGTATGGGGGATGTTTGGAGGTTGAGGTTTGGGGATGTTCAGGGTGAAGGGAGCATATATTGTGTGTTTGTTTGGTGTTTAGGTTGGGATGTTCCCCCTTGTGCGAACACTCCTTACTGGGGATTCTAGCACCCCCTATTAGAACCCCTATCAAGGACTGTTCGTAGAACGGGGAACATCCCAATGTCTAGGGTTTATTTAGGGTGTAGGCGTCAGGGTTTTGGGGGGTCTTGGGATCAGGAGTGGCCAAAACCCAGCTCTTCCCTGGTACCATGAAGCTGGGTTGCACTTGATTTGTCTTAGTGCAGCCTGTCTTGAGTTTAGGGTTTAGGGTTCTTAAAAGATTAACAAACGGCTTTAGGTTTGGGAGATTTTGGAGGCAAAAAACGGGCTTAGGGTTTGGGGTTTAGGGGGGGTAAGGAGACCTAGTTGCACAAGGGGTGTGGGGTTTGGGGGCGAGCTCGGGGGGGCGTGCAAGGGGCTTGGGGCTAGTTGTACTCGAAGCTTCCTAAAGTCGAAGATGTTCCAGCTAAAATTTTGAAGAGGCCCCGGTGTTTTTTGCTGTAGGGTTGAGGGGTTGAGGGGCAAAGGGCTTCCTTGCCCAGAGGGTTTGTGCCTCTCTCTGTCTATCTCCCTCTTTGTCTGCATATATATATATATATACATAAACATATACACATTCGGGAATATCCCGACTACATCGAACCTGATTCCTGAAGCATCAGCAAACCATCCCATGCACCAATTCTAGACCCTCGACCCTAAACCCCAAAAGCCCTACACGCTGTGGACCCTCAACATATGGGGCTGCATTGTAGAGGCAGCAAACGAGGACCCTAAACATATGGGGCTGCGTTATAGAGGCCGCGAACGAGGGAGCATAATGTAGAGCTAGATACGAGGCGAGTTGCCTAAACCCTAAACCTAAACCCAAACCCAAACTAAATTCTGAATCATGAACAAGTAACCCTAAACCCTAAACCCTAAACCCCAAACCCTCTCGAAAGCCTAGGAAAGCTGGGGGAGCGCCTGCGACTCCCAAGTGGATGGTTTCCCTCATGTTCGACTTGATGTACCAGTCGGAGGCACTTCTCTTCCACACGTTTTGGGCCTTTAGGGTTTGAGGTTTAGGGTTTAGGGTTTGGGGTTTGGGGTTTAGGGTTCTGTGTTGGGATGCTCCCCCTTATACTAACAGTCCTTCATAGGGATTCAGTACCCCCTATTGTTAATCCCTGGTAACATCCCAAGATTGGTGTTGAAAGGCCGAATTCAGGGTTCAGGGTTCTTAATTGTTGCAAGGCCTTCGTCAATCAAACCATGGTTGAAGGGTGGTGTGCTAAACCCCTAGGGACCCTGAAACCAGGACCCAGAGTAGATGCCCTTATTCCCTTTGTTAGGGTTTCGGTTCCTTGACAAAGCCCCTTCAACCAATAAAGGGCACCCTAAACCCTAGACCCTAGACCCTAGACCCTAAACCCTAAACCCTAAACCCTAAACCCTAAACCCTAACTCTCATCTCCCCGGGATGCCTCACGGACGGGAGAAGTTTTCTTGGAAGCACGCATATGGTCACTTGGAGGTTCATGGTACTTACTAACCCATTTCTGGGTCTTGGAGTACCATACTTTAATACTTTTTGTTGGTTCTGGGTTCCTATTATAGCTACTTATACCTAAAAAGTATATACTTTTTTTTCAGGGTTTACTCCAAAGCTAAGTACTAACCCATTTATAGCTGCACTTACGACCTGATTATAGCCACATGAAAGCATGATAAGTGGGTTATGAGTACGCTACTTATTCGGGTAGAAGTACCATGAACCTCCAAGTAAAGCGCTTTAGAAGCAGCCCAGCCCTGTGAGCTGGACGCCCCCAGCGCGTTCACTGCTTCAGGGTTGATGGGGTTTGTAGGGTTTAGGGTTTAGTTTTTGGGGTTCAGGGTTTAGGGTTTAGGGTTTAGGGTGGTGGCTTTCTGAGGCTCCTCGTACCCAAACGTAACCCAGCAAAGCACATACTTTTTGGCCCGGGGAGTACGGCACCCTGAAGAAAAGACCCACAAACCCTAAACCCTGATGCGCCCAGTAGGTGACTGGGTTGACGAAAATTTGTGACCTTTAAAATCAGACCCCCAAAATGTGTTCCGGCTTATACTAACAGCCCTTAGTAGGGATTTAATTAGAGTACCCCCCCCCCCCCCCCCCAATATTATTATCCCCATTCAGGACTGTTAGTATAAGGGGGAACATCCCCAAGAATTCCCTTCATCATGAGGACCCCCAATAAGGGTACTTGGAGGTTCATGGTACTTCTACCCCAAGTATAACTGCACTTATAAGCCCCTTAAGTGCCTGAATGTGCTTAAAGTTGGGTTCTAAGTACCCTAAACCCTGAATTCTGAACCCTGAACCATACTTGGCTTGCAAGTAGAGTTCTAATTGGCTTATGAAGTACCAAGAACCTCCAAGAAATCTTGGAAACCGCCAGGAGGATGGTGCGGTTGGCATCCTAAGGAGCCCTAGCAGCTGAAGGCGTAGACCTTTTACACTTTTTTTGGGCATGCGAGAGTCCCCCCCTATGGAGCTGAAAGTGTATAGACCTCTTTTGGGATACGAGAGTCCCCCCTCTAGAACTGAAAGTGTGCACTTTTTTTTTTAAATTTTGGGGGGGGCTTAGGAAGTCAGCAACCTAAGGAACGCTTGCGACCCGGAAGCCCAGAGTGGCGAGTTCTACGGGCCACTGGGGAAAGGGGGCGGCACTGGCAAGCACGACACTTAGTAGCTGAGTGAGCACACTTTTACACTTTTTGGGCTACTATAGTTCCCTTTAGAACTGAAAGTTTTCCCTAAACCCTAAACCCTAAACCCTAAACCCTAAACCCTAAACCCTAAACCCTAAACCCTAAACCCTAAACCCTAAACCCTAAACCCTAAACCTTGGGGCTTATGAACTCAGCAACTGAGGACAAGAAGGAGTACAAAGGGCCCGTGGGGGTGCTGAAGAAGGACGGCGCGCTGAAGCCAAGGATGTGTTTGGTAAACCCTAAACATACTACTAGGAATCCTGCTTGTAAGGGGTGGGTGGATGGAGTAAGATGGAGTAATACAATGCGTTTTGAACACTTGGACCACCAGAGCCTTGCCTTCGCGTGCGCTAGCTGCGAGAGGCGAAGCCCTTGTAAGCCCCAACAAAAAGCCCGAAGCCCAAAAAGCCCTGAAACCCTAAAACCCAAAAGCAGACAGGCTTACAGTACTAGTTCCTTGTATCACCTTGCAGACATCTCTTGACACGATTGTTTTTCTAAACCGTAAACCCCTGCGCTCTCATTCCTGGCGAAGGCCCAATTATAACTGTACTGATAACCCACTTATCCGCCCGTTGAGTGCCCCAATACAGGTATCATTGTGTTATAAGTACCCTGACCTCTGAACCCTAAACCCTAAACCCTAAACCCTAAACCCTAAACCCGAAGTGGGCTATCAGCACAGGTAGACATTGGGTTATTAAGTACCATGGACCTCGAAGTTCCGTCTCCAAGGAGCCTTTTGCTGACGAGGAGGCGCAGTCCATGTTGTGGACGGCCAGTGAGGCGGCGACCGGCGTCACCTTTGCTTGAGGTTTTCTGCGGACTCGAGTTTTTTGGGGGTTTAGGGTTTAGGGTTCGGGTTCAGAAGGTTTTGTTCGGGTTTGGGGTGGACCCTAAAACCCTAAACCCGAAACCCTAAGCCCTAAACCCTAAACCTAAACCCAAAAGGTTGGCGACTTGCCGACTTGACAAGGCAGGGGATTTCCGGAAATGATTCGGAACCCTGCCCCAGGCCTGGTTTGCTGTTAAGGGACAACGTTAGGGTTTAGGGTTTAGGGTTTAGGGTTTAGGAATATCTTCCGACGAAGGTTCCTAGCAGGATCTCAGGCCGTTTGTCTTGCACCTCGTGGCGAATCTGCCCGGTGCGTTAATTCGACAGCTGGTGCAAATCCGGCAGACCAAGACGGCGGAATACAACAAGAACTTAGGTTTTGGGGTTTAGGGTTTAGGGTTACTCTAGGCGCCACACCAGGTGGCACAGTATCCAGGGTTTAGGGTGTTTTGGAACTAAACTCCAAACCCTGACCCTTCTGCCCCAGGCCCTGAACCCTAAACCCCAAGCCCTAAACTCCAAAAACCCAAGCCCTGAACCCCAAACCTGAACCCCCAAGCCCTGAATCCGAAACCACAAACTTTGTGAATGCTCTGTGGAATCCACGGGTCTTCTGAATTGACCCCAGGAGCCCCCGCAAACCCTAAACCCTAAACCCTAAACCCTAAACCCCATGTACCCTGCAAATCAACATCCTGAAGGAAGGCCAAGGTCTGCGCGTTGAGCGGTTGAGGGGTCGAGGTTGGGATGCTCCCTTATTGTTGTTTCCCTAAACCCTAAACCCTAAACCCTAAACCCTAAACCCTAAACCCTAACCCCCTTGTAGTACTAACAGTCCCTAATAGGGATGATTGTGGGGAGTACTCGAATCTCTATCAAGGACTGTTAGTACAAGGGGGAAGGTCTTAAGGTTTAGGTGTTGAGGTTTAGGGGGTTTGTGCGTTTGAGGGTTTGGGGTTCTAAACCCAAAACCCTGAACCCTGAACCCTACAAAACGTTGGAGTCTCCCAGGAAACTGGTGCCGGATCTCACAGCTGGTAATTGGGTGGCCGAGAAGCAGCCAGAACCCACAGTGTGTTAGGGTTTTGGGTGGGTTTAGGGTTTAGGGTTTGCTGGCAGCCTCAGTCCGTGCTTAAAAGGGTTTCGGGTTTTGGGATCAGGGTTAGCACAAGTCCAGTCGGTACCTGTCAGCCGGCTGCCCGTCTCAGGGTCGCGGTTGTTTCTCTGAGTAAGACCACGCGTGGCGACTTGGGGTTTAGGGTTAGGGTTTAGGGTTTAGGGTTTAGGGTTTAGGGTTTAGGGTTTAGGGTTTAGGGTTTAGGGTTTAGGGTTTAGGGTTTAGGGTTTAGGGTTCCGAAAATAGGGGGGGGGGGGGGGGGGGGGGTTCCCTTTTGGGGGGTTCTTAAAATAAGGATTTTACAGGGTTTGGGGGGGGGGGGTATGTTACAGTCCCCAAGTTTGGGAAATGCCCATGTTGCTGAGGCGTCAGTATGCAGTTTCAGGGCACCGGTAAGAGATCACTGCCTTAGAGTTCGAGTCTTCAACGGAGCCGCACGTGCGGAAGTTCAGGGTTTGGGGTTTAGGGTTTAGGGCTACTGAAAGGTTCATGGGTAGTGATAAGCAGGGTTATTAAGTACCCTAAATAGGGTTAGAACCAGCTATGAGTATCAAAACCCCACTTATGACTTATGACTACCCGTGAACCTCCAACTGCCCTCCCTCCAACTCGGCCGGATAGGATCAGAAACTTACTTGTGCATGGGGCCTGGTGTCTGGGTCTTGCCAGCCTATGCACGTTAGCAAGGGTTCAGGGTTAAGGGTTTATAGGGTTTATAGGGTTTCTAGGGTTTATAGGGCTTACAGGGTTTGTAGGGTTTCTAGGGTTTATAAGGTTTAGGGTTCTCGCCCACTTGCAAGGTGATCAACGCACCCTGGGTCATGCAGAAGCTGGATTGCAATCTACTCGGGTCACCGATCCACCACGTTCTACAGGGTTTAGGATTTAGGGTTTGGGGTTTAGGGTTTAGGGTTTAGGGTTTGGGGTACATTGTCTGAGCCTCTGGAGATACAGCAATCTCAATCTAGAGATCTGCCTCTCTAAAGACCGTGCCGAAGCTTCTGGAGCTGTTTCTGGCCAGCTCGGATGAAAAAGCTTCTCTGCAATTGAACACTCGAGCAATCTGCAATGACATTTTTGATTCCTGGCCAGCCGAATTTTACAACAGCCATTCTCACCGGACCGCCCAATATAGATCTGTTTAGAACCCTCAACCGTCCTCAACCCTTAACTGCTTCAGGCTCACGGGTTCAGGGTGCCGGGTTTTGGTTCAGTGTTTGGTCTTGAGTTTTTCCGTGGTTTCCGCTACAGCTCTTCTTGGTTTCCCTTGCGGGTGCATGTCTGCCTTGTTTTCGTTACACCTGCGTATGCTTTCCATGCTTTCGGGCGCGTTTTCCGTTGCATTGTTTTTGGTTTCCATTATGATCTTTTGGTTTCCGTTACACCCCTGAACCGGAAAGCCTGCATGAAGGCTCTTCGTGAACTTTTGTGTTTGTACACAGCCGGGTGAGGCTGTCACAAGGAAGTCGCACCTCAGACCCAGCCAGCTTGGCAAGCGACGCAACAAACCTCTAAAACCTGAACCCTGGGTGTACGATCATTCCGAGATTTTGGACCAGGACGAAATGGCAATGGGGGTTTCCGGAATTAGGGGTACCTTCTTGGGGTCCTTATTATAAGCGAATCCTACTATTTGGGGGTCTATGTTGGGGGTCCCCTCTTTTCGTAAACCCCCAAATTCATCCAAAATCCAAAGGTAGATTCAACAGGGTTGGGATACAACCGGTGAAGTGAAGCCTTGACGAATTCAGGAAGATCTTCCCCTGGGCCAAGAAGGTCTTGAAGATCAAGGCCTCCAAGGGGCTCTCGCTGCTGGGAGGTTCATTGGGGCAGGTATAAGTGGCATTATAAGTCGGGAAACTATATTTATGAACGATATTTAGGGTACTTGTAACCCTTATCATAACTACCCATGAGCTTTCAAGTGGTCTTCTTTGTTAGAGTGAAGGGTTCTTGGCCCAGGGTTGTGGTAGCGTGCTGGAAGTCAGATGCAACATGATGCAACAACATGGTCCAGGACTTAAGGATCAGGTTTTCAGCACGTCAGAATATGGGGTTTACGACAATAAATATAGACCCCCGAAATAGTGTGATCCCCTTCTAATAAGGAGTCCGATAAGGTACCCCCAATATCGTAAAAAGATATGATCTCGCGGTTCACATGTTGCAGTTCGCCTCTTGCATGTCGGCATGTGGGGCTGATCTCAACCGAGGGCTCTTTAGGGTTTAGGGTCATCTGTGTTTTACAGAAGCATGTCTTTCAATGTTTGCGTGGGCGCAATAAAAGTCGTAGGGACTGTCCAAGTTCATGCGTGTTGCTCCGGCCTTCAATTCAACTCGGTTGGAGCTTTGGGTTTAAGGTTATTGTCCGGGCTTTAGGGTTTAGGGTTTAGGGCTACTTGGAGGTTCATGGTTAGTTATAAGTGGGGTTATGAGTAGGGCAACTATAGTTATAGCTGGCTATAGCCTTATTTAGGGTACTTTCATCCCTACGTATAACTACCCATGAACCTTTAAGCAGGGTTGAGGGTTCGGTGCATGGCCTAGCAGCCTAGCAAGCGCGGCAGCAAAGAAGCAGGAACATTGTTGTTTAGGGTTTAGGGTTTAGGGTTTAGGGTTTAGGGTTTAGGGTTTAGGGTTTAGGGTTTGGGTCCGAATGGCAAGCCACGGTAGGGAAGTCTTAATAACGAAACTTTTCTACCCCTAAACCCACAGCCCTAGACCCTAAACCCGAAACCCTAAACCCTATTGATTAGAAATCTGGATTCTTGTGCAGGTGGACAACTGGTTTCTTTGCCAGGGCAATGGCGAGCAGGACGACCACAATTGTGCCTACGGGGGGCCTAGGAGCTCAGAGGGTTCATGACTCAGTGATGGTGGAAATGCTTTGTAACTTACGGGAGTAACTTAAGGGTTTAGGGTTCAGGGTTTAGGGTTTACTGATACTAACAGTCCTTAGTCCTTAGTAGAGATTTTATTCGGGCGTTATAGATAATCCCTATTAAGGACTGCTCGCATCCTTAGAAGGATAACAGGGGGTACTAGGTTCCCGATTAAGGACTGTGAGTATAAGGGGGAACGTCCCAGCCCGAAACCCGAAGCTTTAAACTCCATTAAGGACTGTTAGCAGAAGGGGGAAGATCCCAAGTTGTGCCCGACACCTTGTTGGGGGGGCCGAGCTTGAGGCTTTTGCTGTCCCGATGGGGTTTAGGGTTTAGGGTTTAGGGTTTAGGGTTTAGGGTTTAGGGTTTAGGGCCCGGCACCTCAGAGAGCCCGGGGTCAAGAGGGTTTAGGGTCTAAGGAGGGTCGGTCTAGGGTTTAGGGTTTAGGGCCAGAGAAACCTGGAGCAACACCCTAAACCCTAAACCCTGAACCCCCCGACGTGCTGGCCAAAGGAAGATGTTTGAAGTGAGCAGATTGCACGGTTAGCCGATCAGCTTCAGGATGACCCCCCCCCCCCCGGTTTAGGGTTTAGGGTTTAGGGTTTAGGGTTTAGGGTTTAGGGTTTAGGGTTTAGGGTTTAGGGCCCCAAGCTTCAAAACCCCCTCAAAGGGGAATCTTAAAGTTCGCCCTACGCCCTACACCCTACACCGTAAACCCTCAGCAAGCGCAGCTAGGCAGGGGCTGGGGTACAACTGCAGATGCCCCCTAGGAACCCGCGACAGTATGTATACAGAAGTATTTTAGAGAGTGCAAAAAGTGTTTAGGGTTTAGGGTTTAGGGTTTAGGGTTTAGGGAAATGCGGCATATAAAAAAAGTTGTTAGGTCACCGGGGGGAGATGCTACACGGTACACAGTCTACTGTGAGGTAGGTCATGGTCTCCCCCCTACATAAACCTTATAAACAACACTAGCCTAGTGCCTGATGGTTTAGGGTTTAGGGTTCAGGGTTTAGGGTTTAGGACCCCCTGACTCGTGGCGCCATCCACACTTCGTTTTAAGAAAGAAGCTTTACTCAAGGAACGCCCCCTATATCATCGCCGCCTCCTTCTCATTGGAGTCAATGACCGTTCCTCCAGCAACTTCTGAGCCTCGGGCCTCGTAAATCCTGCCTAAACCCCAAGCCCTAAAACAAAACCGTGGAGCTCCTAAAGCGAAAATCCCAAACCCTCAACTCCTGAAGCCCTAAACCCTAAACCCTAAACCTTCTGGGCAGAGTGCCAGGATGAGGACCTCCTGACCTTGGTCTCGGTGGAGACGCTGGCTGGCAAAGACCCGACCCTGTAGTTCTGTTCTCAGGGGTTTAGGGTTCAGGGTTTAGGGTTTAGGGTTTATAAGTTTAGGGTTTAGGGTTTAGGGCCTTAGGATTGCACCGTCCTCAGCCTACAGCTATAAACAAAATCCTCCCTGAGGGAACTGTAGGCCTCCATGCGAAAAGGACTGAGGATCTCTAGCCTTCGCTTGGGATGTTCCCCCCTCATGCTAACAGTCCTTGATCGGGATGATGGTGCCCCCCCCACCCCCCTAAACCCTGAACCCTGAACCCTGAACCCTAAACCCTAAACCCTAAACCCTAAACCTTAAGGACTGTTAGTCTTAGGGGGAGCATCCCAGGCCTTGGCCGCAAGAAGTAAAACAAGAGGGCTTACCAAGGAGTACAGAGACAATTGGCTTCACTCCTTTGACCCTTTCCGCTCTCACGCCTAAAGCAATAAGAACCTGGGTTTCGGGTTTAGGGTTGAGGGTTTTAGGGTGTAGGGCTTAGGGTTTAGGGTTTGTGGTACATTAACACCCCTTGCCTTCATGGTTTAGGGCACATTCCAGCAGGTCCTGAATCTACTGTTCCTTACGCTTTTTGCGCCGCCATGCAGCAACAACCGGGCACAATCCTGAATCAGACGCAGAGATCCCAAAAAGCTCACCAACACGACAGGGCCAAACCCCAAACCATGAA